TCTGTGTCTATTTTTGGAAGCACCACGTGTTAATGGTTTGTCTAAACACAGCGTCGCTCCCTGACGGTTTTTTTCCGTCTTCCTTTGATAAATCGTATGGCTGTTTTCATCTGAAGTCGCCGTCGTCCGAGAGACAAAAGAGAGGTTTGTTGAAGGTCCAGTGAGTTCCTCACAGACACCTGGAGCGGTTCTAGAATGTTCTTCAGTCCTACCAAGGCTGGTCTCTGAGGGGGGTTTAAGGACCATCGTTCACACTACACCATTGGTACTCATTAGTGATGGAGCGATGGTACGGTGGAACTTCAGCTGAAGGTCAGATCAGTTTTCTGGAAAGGACGGATCGAACCTGATTGACAGACTGTTGACTTCCTGTTGGGACCAGTCGTGATTCACTGATGGTACACACTGGACCTTCAAGGCTGTGAGCTAAGCTAAGCTCAGATGCTAGCTGGTTGGAGTGAGCTACAAACATCAGTCTCAGCTACAGGACTACGTCAGTACTAGTCCAAATACTGGTCCAAGTACTAGTCCAAGTACTGGTCCAAGTACTAGTCCAAATACTAGTCCAAGTACTGTGCATCTACATCACGGCAGGGTCAACACCCAAACAAGCTGGTTAGTTTCAGAGTCAAGGTGGGGGGTAGGACGGGGGGGCAGGACCCAGAGACTGGGGCAGCTCACAGGATGGAGGGGATTGGGGAGCGAGACCGTCTCAGTGGGCAGGGTGATCCGTAGGGCGAGGTCACGGGAGACAACCTCAGGGTGTTACCAGTCACGCCCGCTATGTTGTTCAGGCTCCGGGATTTCTCATATCCTTCAGATGAGGGGGGGGGCGACATGGAGGGGGGGGCAGTGGAGGTGGTGCAGGTGCAGGTGCAGGTGCAGGTGCAGGACATGAACACACACAGGCAGGCAACGGTCCAAGTCCAAGCCAGACCAGCGAACAGAGACAGGAGACAGGAGTGAGACAGAGCAACGGACAACATTCAGTGAGCTGTACTGTACTGTACTGTACTGTACTGAACTGTACTGTACTGAACTGAACTGACCTGTACTGAACTGAACTGTACTGTACTGTACTGAACTGAACTGTACTGTACTGAACTGTACTGAACTGTACTGTACTGTACTGTACGGTACTGTACTGTACTGAACTGAACTGTACTGAACTGTACTGTACTGAACTGAACTGTACTGTACTGAACTGTACTGAACTGTACTGTACTGAACTGTACTGAACTGTACTGTACTGAACTGTACTGAACTGTACTGTACTGAACTGTACTGTACTGAACTGAACTGTACTGAACTGTACTGTACTGTACTGTACGGTACTGTACTGTACTGAACTGAACTGTATTGTACTGAACTGAACTGAACTGAACTGTACTGTACTGAACTGTACTGTACTGTACTGAACTGAACTGTACTGAACTGAACTGTACTGTACTGTACTGTACGGTACTGTACTGTACTGAACTGAACTGTATTGTACTGAACTGAACTGAACTGTACTGTACTGAACTGAACTGACCTGTACTGAACTGAACTGTACTGTACTGAACTGTACTGTACTGTACTGAACTGTACTGAACTGCTCTAAAAAAACTAAAATAAAAACTGAGAGACTGAAGCAGATCTTCATCTGTATCTTTCTTCAATTCCTGCCAGTACATCAGTCTTGTGTTCAACTAAACGGACAGTCAGTGAATTTAAGTAAATTAAAACTAGAAGATCGTTAGCTTTAATTACATTCACTCCATGTAACATTTCTGTTTGATGGTGTTTCTAATGTGAACAACAAACGACGGCAACATTTCAGTCCAACCTGCTGCTCCTGGTCCATGCAGACAAAAAATTAAATTAGAAACAAGCTTTAACAGCCAACAAGAGCCAATCAGCTGCTGTGGAGACTGACATCAAACAGCCAATGGGAGCACGGTCTCATCAACACATGCTGCTGTGGTGGAGCAGCAGCAGTGGCAGCAGCAAAGCAGAGGGCAGCAGAGGGCAGCAGAGGGTCCACGCCCACAGGTGGCAGTGGCTGAGGAGGACGTTTGATGTTTCATGCATTAGTACCAGTGGGATTAGTACCAGTGTGGTGACTATGGGACACATGCAGCAGAGTGAGTCCAGGCCCAGTTGCTGCTGCTGCTGTTGCTGCTGCTGCTGCTGCTGCTGCTGCTGAATGATGTGGTGACAGATTAGCATCAGCAGCTTCTCAGGCCGGACAAGAACAGAAGACATTTCCTCTCATTAGAACCGGACCATCAGCCTAACCAGGTGTCACTGGTCCTGCAGTGAATACGAGTGACCAGCAGGGACATCAGGGGGTCAACACTGGTCAGTTCAGACTGGTGTCTCCGTCTGATTTCACACAAAAACTGAAAAGAACATTTGAAATAAACTGATTTCAGGACAAAACCACGGCACCAGGTCGTCACCTGGTACGGAAGGAACAGTCCAGAAGATTTTGTTGAAGAAAAGTTGGTATTTAAAAAAAATATGGGAAATAAAATGTAATGGTCAATTTAAATCTACAGCTCAAGAAACTCCTTTAACCACTGCTTTAAGATGGGGGGTCAGGGGTCGGGGACAGGGGTCGCGGGGTCGGGGGTACAAATATGCAGTCAGACTTTTTCATATTTGAAGCCAAAAGTAATGAAACCTGGAGGTTTGTTGTCGTATCATCACCTTTGAGGACGATGATACCCCCGGTGGTTTACTAGGGAAGTGCAGGTGACCCACAGCTGGTCCAGACACTGCATCAACATTTATTCACGTGTTTCCAGGTCAAAGGAAAACGCAAATAAATTCTAACATAGGCCACAGTTCTGAGTCCGCTGAGCGTGAGCGCCATCTACCCTCAGAATTGTCACCACTGACGTTTAGCATTGTGCCACAAAAGCCCCTCCTCAGGGTACATTACCTCATCAGGCTAGGCCTGAACAAACAGCCCCCCCTCGTCCAAGGATGAGGACGTCCCAGTCACTGAGGACAGGGAGGAGTTTGGACTTCAAACACCTCAGATCTGACATGAAGTTACTCCAAAAATATTTTAAACAAATAGAACAAAACACTTAATGAACGACTTTTTCAACAATGTAAAAAAAAAAAAGTTTTTTGTACCTGTTTTCCGTATGCCGCCATCTGCAGGACAAGTGAAGTCACTGGCAGTGAGCAGGAAACACGTACCACCAATCCGACGGTCCTGTTCCCTGGTGCTGGACCGACGCATCGGGACCCTCTCCTCTGGGGACATGGTCAGGTCACTGCCCCCACTACAGTCTGCTGACAGTACTGCAGGGAGGGAAGGAAGGAAGGAGGGAAGGACAGAAGGAAGGAAGGAAGGAAGGAAGGAAAGAAGGAGGGAAGGAAGGCAGGAAGGAAGGAAAGAAGGAGGGAAGGAGGGAAGGAAGGAAGGAAGGAAGGAAGGAAGGAAGGAAGGAAGGAAGGAAGGAAGGAAGGAAGGACGGAAGGAAGGAAGGA